CGCCTCCTGGGTTCAGGCAATTCTCCTGCCTCAGCCTCCTGAGTAGCTGGGATTACAGGCACGTGCCACCATGCCCAGCTAATTTTTTGTATTTTTAGTAAAGACGGGGTTTCACCATGTTGACGAGGATGGTCTCGATCTCTTGACCTTGTGATCCGCCCGCCTCGGCCTCCCAAAGTGCTGGGATTACAGGCTTGAGCCACCGCGCCCGGCCATTTGTTATATTTTAATCCTGATAACCCCAAGAAGTTGATGGCCTTCATCTATTTGGGAGAAAAGGAGACTCAGAAGGGGAAAATGAGCTTGTTCCAGTTCTCTACCTAGTAACTGCAGGCCTGGAATTTAGAATCAGGGATCTTTCTAAAGACATTGCATCTGAAGATGTCAGAGGCATTCTAACCAGAGTGACTCCATCTTGCATAGAGGCTGGGTAAAATGAAGCTGAGACCTGGCTAAGATGTGAAATATTCTTAGTCACAAAATGTTTACAGTTAAGGGAACAGGTTAATAATGTTTACTAAACAGGCATTTCTTTACTTCTCTAATAAACTTGCTTTCACTTTATTCTGTGGATTTGCCCCAAATTCCTTCTGGTGTGAAATGCAAGAACTGTCTCTTGGGGTCTGGATTGGGACCCCTTTCTGGTAACAAAGACACCATGCACCAGGGTCATAAAAAGAAGGGATGTCTAAGACTTGCTGGTTCTATGGCAGGCAGAGGCAGAAAGAGCCCCACCATCATTACCAGCAAATGGGAAAAGTTCCCAGTTGCAGATATTAGGGGTGGGATGGGGCAGGGGCAGTCAGCATCCATAGACTTAGACCCTGAAGAGGCAAAAAAGGAGGGCCATGTTCTTGGATCAGCAGAGCTTCTAGCTCAGCTTCTTTAGCCTCTAGCTCTTTCCTGGTGCCAGTAGCTCATTCTCTAGTGGAGGCAGCCAGATGGCAGGGAGGATCCAGGAAACAGCGAAAGATGCTGAGCAGGCCTCCCTTGTTCCCCCTCCCCATGGCCCCATGGATCATCCGGTGCTGCAGCTCATCTCATTGGCTGGCTTCTGGTTACTCATCTCTCCTCTTCTCCATTTTCCCAGCCTGTGGTTGCCGTGGAAACATAGAACAGTGACCTCACCATAGAATGATGGCTGGGGAAGATGCTGTTCTTGGCAGGCACTGGTCTTGCTGCCTGCCAGATGTTATATCCACATCTGGATCTGTCAAGGGCAAGACAGGGGAGCACAGAAAGTGACAGGGCTCACATTCTCCTCCAAATATAGTGAGCATAACAGAGCTAGCGGATGCAGGTACTCAGAGGGATGAGGAGACAACTGTACATACTTGGAAGAAGGCTATAAACCAGGAGGAAAGGAGATAGGGTGCAGCTTACGGGTTAGCCTCAGTGACCCAGGTCTGTGCATGGTGGCAAGGTGGGGGAAGGGCAGTGAGGGTAGTTGGTCTGAGTTTTGTCTAGTAGAGCTTCTCAAAGCCCCATGCTGCTCAACTTGGACAGGCCCCAAGAGAGGGAGCAAATGAATTTTCGGGCAGTGGCCCCCACAACCCATCCTAAAAGCCTCTATGGACCTCTTTTCACAGTTGCAGCAGTTTCTAATCCTGTCCCAGAAATAAGAAAACTAAGGATTAAAGAAGCAAAGCAATCTGCCTTGGGTAATTAACTCAGCAGGCAAGCTGCAGAACTCAGAATAGGTCTTAGGTGTCTGCACTACCCCTGGAGATAACAACAGCAGCAGGAGGAGCAGCAGCAGTGAACATTTACTAAGTCAACCATATTCAGCATTTAAATGTGTTATCTCAGGCTAGGCGTTGTGGCTCATACCTGTTGTAGTCTCAGCACTTTGAAAGGCCAAGGCAAGCAGATTGCTTGAGGCCAGTAATCCAAAACCAGTGTGGGCAACATGGCAAAACGCTGTCTCTACCAAAAACAAACAAAAAGCACATAAAAAATTAGCTGGGCATGGTGCCATGCACCTGTAATCCTAACTACTCGGGAGGCTGAGGTGGGAGGATGCCTTGAGTCTGAGAAGTCAAGCCTGCAGTGAGCTGAGATCATGCTACTCCACAGCCTGAGTGACAGAGTGAGACTCTCTTAAAATAAAGAAATAGGCTGAGTGTGGTGGCTCATACCTGTAATCCCAGCACTTTGGGAGGCAAAGGCAGGCGGATCACTTGAGGTCAGGAGTTCAAGACCAGCCTGGCCAACATGGTGAAACCCCATCTCTACTAAAAATACAAAAATTAGGCAGGAGTGGTGGCCTATGCCTGTAATCCCAGCTACTCGAGAGGCTGAGGCAGAAGAATCACTTGAACCGGGAGGTGGAAGTTGCAGTGAGCAAAGATCGTGCTGCTGCGCTTCAGCCTGGGTGACAGAACGAGACTCCTTCTCAAAAAAAAAAAAAACCCCAAAACAAAAACAAACACTCAGAGTGCCTTAAGTGAATTGCCCAAGGCCACACAGCTAGTACCCAACGAAATTCAGATCAGAGCTGGGCGTGGTGGTTCACACCTATAATCCCAGCACTTTGGGAGGCCTAAGCGGGCAGATCACAAGGTCAAGAGATCAAGAACATCCTGGCCAACGTGGTGAAACCCCGTCTTTACTAAAAAATACAAAAATTAGCTAGGGATGGTGGTACATGCCTGTAGTCCCAGCTACTCGGGAGGCTGAGGCAGGAGAATCACTTGAACCCGGGAGGCGGAGGTTGCAGTGAGCCGAGATTGCGCCACTGCACTCCAGCCTGGTGGTGACAGAACAAGACTGCATCTCAAACAAAAAAAAAAAAAACAAAAAAAAAAAAAAAAGGCTGGGTGTGTGTGGTGGCTCACACCTGTAATCCCAGCTCTTTGGGAGGTCGAGGCAGGAGGATCACCTGAGGTCAGGAGTTCAAGACTAGCCTGGCCAACATGGTGAAACCCTGTCTCTAAAAATAAAAAATAAAAAAATAAAAAAATAAGAAAAGAAATTCAGATCAGAACAAAGATCTGCCAGCAGCCATGAGCCCAGCCCCAGCTTTCCATCACTGCATTATAAGGGCCACCACATAAGGAGACAGTTCTAGTCCCTGGCCACACAGTCCTTGAGAGAGGAGGACCTGTGACTGAAGGCTATGACGTTGAGTTAGAAATCATCTTTTTCCCTTCCTCCTCTCCTGGCACCTGCTCTAACAGTGAGATCACCAAGGCTCCATGCCCAGCCCTGAGGCCTGTCCTTGTAGCTTTGGCAAAAATGACCCTCCAAGTGTTCTGGCAACTGGACTGTCCAAAGGAATCAAGAACTTAGGGTGGGGAGAGGGCTCTTCCTTCCTGGCCTTGTTCCCAGAACAGTCCAGGGAAGGAAAGGGAGGCAGGGTTTGCACGTGGAGAAACAGAGTCCCAGGAAGGAGGACCTGCCACACTATACGCACGCCGCAGAGTTGGCAGGCCTCAGGGCTCCTGTGTTGGCTCCTGCAGGCCCTCCCTGGACAGGCTGCTGCTGGCTGAAGTTCAGTTCCGCACTACTCCTTGGTGTGCTGGGCCTCCTGCCATCACTCAGAAACTAATTTATACCTCACTTCCTCTGAGAAGTCTACACTGAACCTCAGGTCAGGACAGGACCCCTGTTAAAGTCACCACATTAGTTTTGTGTTTGGCTGCCCAGAGGTGAGTGTGTGTTTCGTTCCCTGTTGTCTCTCTTCAAAGCAGGGCCTGGTACAAAATAAGTACTTTAATAGCTGCTGAATTAATGAGTGAACTCCTCAGAGCTTCAGCTTGTTCATCTTTTTAAAAAGAAAAGATAATACAGTAATACCTATTTCATGGATTTTGTTTTAAAAGTTCAATGAGGCCAAGCGTGGTGGTGTGTGCCTACAGTTCCAGCTTCTTGGGAGGCTAAGGTGGGAGGATCCCTTGAGCCCTGGAGTTTGAGGCCGCAGGGAGCTGTGATGGCATCACAGCACTCCAGCCTGGGAGACACATTGAGAGACCTTGTCTCTAAAAAAATAATAATAAAATGAAAAGTCCAATGAAACAATACACCTAAAGCCCTCAGCATGCAATAAATATCAATACAAGGTCTTGATATTTCCACTCAAAGTGCTCAGTAAACTATACAGTGTCAAACCACTGCACAACAGGCTCTGGAGAGGAGGCAACAAAGTACCCAAAGTGCAGGCGGCTAGTGTGAACAGGTCAGAGAAAGGGCAGCAGGTGGGGAAGGCAGCAGTGGGCCTTGAAGAGCTGACCGAATTGGCAGAATTTCTGAAGGAGGGTGAGCTGGGAAGGAACTGAGCTAAAGCTTGGAGCTGTGCGGAGAGACTGGAAAAGCCCGGAGCACTTGCAGGGGCGGGTGGGGAGTTGGATGGTGGGGGGGGGGCGGGGGGGGGGGGAGGAGGGCCAGCAGGAGGCATTCTGCAGGGAGGGGCAAGCACGTGTGAGCGGGCGGGCGCGGACGCGAAAGGTCAGGCTTTCGCTCAAAACAGGCAGAGGACAAGGTCAGCTCAGCCGCAGACTGAGCCCCTGGTGATTGTCTCCGCCACCAGGCAGTGGGAGTGAAGGGACAGCGGGCTCGCTAGGCTAAGCTTGCAGTCTGAAGATCCATTCACCCCCTATTTCTTGAGACCTTGTCAGTTCCCCTCTGAGCCGCGGGCTCCTCACTCGTAAAACGAGGACGGATGCCTGTGCCAGAAGTCAACCAGAGTTTTTCCCGGCGTGGGCACCAGCCCAAGGGCGAGTTTTCCTTTTCTCGTCTCATCTCTGCTCTGACCCCAAGTTCAAAGAGGGACTGGGCTACGGAAGATATCCATGGCATGCGCCCTAGCTCTCCGGCCGGTAACGGCTGCTTCTCTCTCAGATTCCAGAGTGCCTAGAAGCCAGGAAAGGGAGATGGTCCTGTCAGCCTGGGGTAGAGACTCCGGGGCCAGGCACTGGCGCTGACGCAGGCAAGCAGGGCGCCACTGACTGGTCCCCTCCCACCTCGGCGGGTTGGGGGATGGCGGACCAGCCCCTCCTGGGTGAGCCCTAGCCTGGGGCTTCCTATTTCGGGAGCCGGGGGCGTGGGCCACGTCTCATGTGATGCGAGGGCTATTTAAAGCGGCAGCCCGGGCAGGGAGCCGCCGTCCGAGTCTGCACGTCTGCTCTCTTCGCAGCTTCTGTCTCAGCCTAGCCCAGCATCACTATGGTGGACGCTTTCCTGGGCACCTGGAAGCTAGTGGACAGCAAGAATTTCGATGACTACATGAAGTCACTCGGTGAGCAAGCCGCGGGGCTCTGGATGCTGGCTTGGGGAGGGGCTGGTGGCGTGCCTAGCCCCACGCAGGGCTCCTGCTGCATCCCTCTTGGTTAAGACTGGTGAATAGGGGAACGCGGAATGGCAGCCTGGGTGGAGCCTGTTCGGAAGGGGCTTTCATGGTCCAAATCTGGTTAGAGACCATGGTAGGGAGGTGGAGGAAGGAGGCAGCTGTGTGGGAGGCTCTTTCCAGGAAGAGAGATATATGATTTGGAGGTAGAAGGAGGGTTTGGATAAAGAACACTGATCACAGGAAGGGGAATCTAGCCAGAGAAGAGAAAGAACAAGGGCATGGGCAGTTTAGAAATTGGAGGAGATTGAACCCAGAAACGGAATGGGGCAGCTAGGGAGTGTACTATGACCTTAAACAAGTAGGAAATACCTAGGAGGAAGATTGGTGGGGAGAAAAACGTGGATCAGTGAATCAGATATGAGGAGGAGTTAAGACAGGTAAGCAGCAATTCCCATCTCTCTATGTTGGATTAGGGAAGGGGATTGTTGCTGGAGAATGTTCTTTCTCACCAGCCAGTCTGACCTTGTCCTGCAGTGATATGTAACCAGGCCTTAATCACCGTCTGTGAGCCTCGTGGTAGGGTGGGGCAAGAGGCCCATCATCAGCTGGGCCTTTCCTGCAACCCAAGGCTCACCCACCTGTGTGAAGGGTAGGCAGTGAAAGCCATTGGCCTTCTATTGTGCAGTAGAGGGTGTCAGAGCAAGGTCAAGACCTGGGAGGGAGGATGACTGGTTTAGGAGGGTGTGAAGAACTGCTGTGGTGTTGAGATGGATAAGAATAAGGATTCAAAGAATCTTACGGGTGAGGAACTTGGAGATTCCCATACTGTCTGGTTCAACAGGGAAGTTGAAACCAGGAATTATAACAATTCCACAGCAGAGCTGATAATGAAAACCTAAGGTTTCTAGATCTGTGACCCAGAGCTCTTCCCACTACCCTACAGGCCCTGGGAGTGGGAAGCAAAGTAGGAACTGCTTAGCTAATGATTGACCTCAGCCCTTCTTCTACTGCTTTGGTCTTAGATGGAGAGGTCAGAGCTCTTAACGGCTCCTACCCTACCCTGGGCGCTATGCCCAGTAATTCCAGGTAGGCAGTCATTCTTAGAGGAGCAGCCTCCCAACCCCCACTAACACACCCCAGCAGCTATTGGGAAGTTGGAATGCCCAGATTTAGTTCCTCCTTCCAAAGCTAGGCCAGAGCCGAGTCCCTGAACTGAGCTGAAGCTTTACCACTATTGTTCCCTTATTCTGCCCCAAGTGGGTGGGTGGGGGCGATCTCCCTAAAGACCTGTTATTTTTCAGCACCTTTCTTTTTGTAGGAACGGGAAGCCTGGGAAAAGACCCTCCTCAGCTCTCAGTAAATAGCACTGGCTTCATTTCTAAGCAGAACCCAGATCTCCCTGAGTCTCCTAAATTCTGTCAGCTCAGTACTCTTAGTTTCTCTTGGTTCAGACCCTCACTTATCCCACAGTGGTTTCCTTTCAGACACTGTATACCTCTGGGTAGGTCCTAAGCAAACAGAGCTCCCAGTGCAGTGACAAGGTCCTGCTCTGTGAAGGGGAGTGTCATTGGCCTAACTCATCCTGACACCAAGGGGCAAGGCCAAGTTCCTCACTGGCAAAGCAAGGGTAGGCTGACAGCATAGCGGCAGAGGCAGCCCCCTCCTGCTGTAGACATAGGGCTCTCAAGGGGCAAAGAGGTCCCGTCTAGTACCAGTGACCACAGGCACAATTGGTGGCCTGGATTGAGTATGTGCTGGGCAGAATGGCCTAGTGGAAACAGTGAGCCATTTTGGAGCCTAGATTCAAATCTGTCAGTAGTCTACTCCGTTTGAATTTAGACGAGACACTTCACTCTCTTTATTGTAAATTGGGGATAATCTACGCTTCAGGGCTGTTACAAGCATTAAGTACAACAACTCATGTAGGGCATGTGCAGAGTACCTAGCTCCAGTAAGCACTATGTAGCCAGGCACATTTGGAGACTATACACACCACTTCACTACACTGGGCTGCCTCCTGCCTCACCTTTGCCTTGGAGGACAGCTCAGCATAAACTGCTGGGGGGAGAAGAGGCAGTCATGATTCTTTGTTCTTTACTTGCTTGCAGGACACTTAGGACTTTGCCCAGTACCCAAGGAAGTCATGCTTATGTCAGGAAAATAGTCTCTGTAGAGCCTTAGACTGGGAGTCAGGAGACTTGGGTTTGAGTCTAACTCATTGTTTTCTTTTGTTTTGTTTTTGAGATGGAGTTTCGCTCTTGTTGCCCAGGCTGGAGTGCAATGGCATGATCTCAGCTCACTGCAACCTCTGCCTCCCAGGTTCAAGCGATTCTCCTGCCTCAGCCTCCCGAGTAGTTGGGATTACAGGCATGCGCCACCACGCCTGGCTAATTTTGTATTTTAGTAGAGATGGGTTTCTCAATGTTGGTCAGGCTGATCTCAAACTCCCAAACTCAGGCGATCCACCCACCTTGGCCTCCCAAAGTGCTGGGATTACAGGCGTGAGCCACTGTGCCCAGCAGAGTCTAACTCATTGTTGCTACTGCCGCTTTAGGCTCCTCCTCAATTTGTGCAAGAGGACAAATACTTCCTTTGTATCTAACTTCTAGATCATAGATAACAGGCTTTGAAAATGCTGGGTTGCCATATATAAGGAACAAGAGCACATTTAAAGCTTCTTCGTTTCAGGGTAAAAACTTCCAAAGGTGGAAAACTCTTATTATTCATAAGGCTTTGGGAGGCAAAGTCTACACTTCTCAGCCTTATTAATTTTTTTTTTAGAGACGGGGTTTCACCATATTGGTCAGGCTGCTCTTCGCTGCTCTCGAACTCCTGACCTCATGATCCACCCACCTCGGCCTCCCAAAGTGCTGGGATTACAGGCGTGAGTCACCATGCCTGGCTCTCAGCCTTATTTCTAAGGCTTTGAGAGCTTTTCAGGTGCCCTGGAAAGCCTTATGCTCCAGCCTTGGGAGGTGGTATGGCTGAAAACTTAAGCAAGCTCTGGAGTCAGACAGTTCTGGGCTTCAATCTCAGATTTGTGACCCTGGGCTTTAACTCTTATGTTTTTGCATTGTAATGTGGAAAGTCTTCAGAGGAACAGGAAGAACTAAATGAGATAATATGTACAGTACTTAATAGTAGCTTTTTTTTTTTTTTTGAGATGGAATCTCACTCTGTCAGCCAGGTTGGAGTGCAGTGGCACAGTCTCAGCTCACTGCAACCTCCACCTCCTAGGTTCAAGCAATTCTCACGCCTCAGGCTCCAGCATAGCTGGGATTACAGGCACATACCACCACATCTGGCTTTTTGTATTTTTAGTAGAGATGGGTTTTCACCATGTTGGCCAAACTGGTCTCAAACTCCTGGCCTCATGTAATCTGCCTGCCTTGGCCTCCCAAAGTGCTGGGATTACAGATGTGAGCTATCAAACTTGGCCCAAAGTAGCTTTTTCTAATCCCAGCTCTGCCACTGACTTGCACTGCTCTTCCTTAACCATCTCATCTGTCTAATGGGATTAGTAACCTGTGTTCACCAAAAAGAACTAAGGGCAAGACTGAATTTTAAAATTCCCAAATGCAAAGGCTTTGAAAGACACTTCATCACACCCAGGCCTGAGAGTTATTCATGGAGTTTCTTGAACACCGCCTCTCTACTCCAGTGCATATACTCATAACCTTCCCCCTACCCTCAGGTGTGGGTTTTGCTACCAGGCAGGTGGCCAACATGACCAAGCCTACCACAATCATTGAAAAGAATGGGGACACTATCATCCTAAAAACACACAGCACCTTCAAGAACACAGAGATCAGCTTTAAGCTGGGGGTGGAATTCGATGAGACAACAGCAGATGACAGGAAGGTCAAGGTAAGTCAGGGAAACAGGGGTCGGGAATGGAGAGTGCTGAGACTCTACCTAGGCTGGTAGCCTTGGCTCCCTGGTATTGTTGCCTGAGGGGCAGACTATCATGGAAGATTTAAATGAAACAAGGTTCATAAAGCCTGTGTAGTGCTGGAATGCCACTGATGCCAAATAAATGTAAGTTCTGTCATCTTGTTTTCTTCCCACCCTTCTTGGAATTCATCTGCTGGCTGCCTCAGAATGGGCAGTGCAGAACCAGGATATTCTTCTGAACTCAGTATCTACTCCAGCTCCAGCTGGGTGATCCCGTGTAAGGTATGCAGTAGTAGCTCTAGATTTCTTTCCCCTTCCATAGATGGTGGAGTTATGTGCCCACGGCTGTGACCTGAAGTGCTTTAGGAATGATGCCCAGAAGTCAGGGACCTCCACTGAGTGAGGTCATTGTGGCCTCCAGCAGCAAAAAAGGCAGCCAGGAACAAGAAGCACCTACTCAGATGCTGCTTCAACTTCTAAATCTCAGACATAACCAATGACCCTGACAAATTTCTGATGTTACCAGCTGACAGGCAAGAAGAGCTATGTTCTGGTACAGGGCATTCATCTTGTCATAAATGAGTTTGTAGTGCCTTCCCACCAAGCCTCAGCCCCCTCTCCCAGGGTTCTGTCACACTGCAGTGGCTGTCTTGACAGCTTGCCTCAGACCTTCCAGGCCAGGCATGGGTGCAAGAGAACTTAGAGGCTTTGACCTCTATAGGGTGTCCCTACAGCAGTGTTCTATCATGACACTATCATTCAGCCCATCAGCTGTTTCCTGTTCCTCACAGCTGTCCCCAGAAAGGATAGGATCACACCGGTGGCTGGCAGCAGAGCTGGGGATGGTGCCCGAAGATGGTAGTCTACCTTGGATAAAGGTGGCTGCCCTACCACATGCCCATACCTCCTTGGGCTTGCCTACTTTCTCAAGGGGCAAGAACTCCAATTAAACACAATAGCCCTCTAGAATCCCTAGGGCCTACTCTTGAGTAGGCAAAAAAAAAAAAAAACTAGGGGAACGAGAACAAGAAGTAAGGTAAGAATAAAGATAGCACACTAAGAGACAGGCCCCATATTCCTTACCCCCCAAACAATACACAGAACCTTCTCAGATTCTCCTACTGAACCACCTTGCTCATCAAGATCCCTTAGTCTGGCCTTGTGGCCCCCAAACTCCTAGGAGAGACCTGGAAGAGCTGCCAAATGAGAACCAGCTGATGTATGCTGGCAGCACCCAGACCTGAGGAACAATCCAAGGGCATCCAGTCCCAGGACTGCGGTTGGTGTCCTCTTGCCCCTCTAAAGAGGTCACATGTGGCCCAGGAAGAGGGGTAGGAATACAGGGGAGAAAGTCTAATTATCCAATACTTCTTATCACAAAGGGTCTTTTAGACATTATGTGTACTAACCCAAGGCTGGGAAAAGATTCTCAGTACTACTCCACCTCCTCAGTCAGTCTTTCCCAGGGATAGACTAGTAAATACCACCTGTATCTGAGGGGAACAGCCTGTTCAAATAAGTGTCTATCTTGAAGGGTTGTGATGCTTCTCAGAGCCAGGCTCTCTGGCTCCACCATACTGCCTCCCTCTCTCTCATCGCCTAATACCTGAAGGCCTCTTCCCCAGCAAGGCAGTAGTGGTGAAGAAGCTGGAGGTGAACTAGATGTCCTGCAGGGCTGGCTGGGAGGTGGATTGCCTGAGCTCTTGTCCTCACACCATCACTAGTTTGGGTCGGAGGCTGTGTCCTCTGTGGCCCCAGTGTCCAGACCCCATCCTGCCCCTCAATCCTAAGATCACAGCTCAAGCCTCTACTCTCTTTCCACAGTCCATTGTGACACTGGATGGAGGTAAACTTGTTCACCTACAGAAGTGGGATGGGCAAGAGACGACACTTGTGCGGGAGCTAACTGATGGAAAACTCATCCTGGTAAGATGGGCAACTTTGGAGCCATATCTAATTGGTTTTTACTACTGCTCTTTCAGCCAAGCCTGTTCTAAAAAGCCAAGTCTGTTCTAAAAAGCCAAGTCCTCCCCGGAGAGCCACAGAGGCTGAGACAAGAGTGGTTACAAGGTCAGGGTGGTATCAGGTGGGAATTTTCTGTGTGGCGGCTTTGGACTCACACAGGCTGGGGCTCACATCTTACCTTACAGGCTTCATGACTTCAAATCACCCTCTCCAAGTGCAATTGTAAAATGGGTATTAATAATACCAACCTTGTAGGGCTGCTGAGAAGCCTGTAAGAGACAGTGTATGCACCGCACAAAGCATCACTGATACAGCATGTCCTTTGTTTGGTCTTCCCGTATTTCCACCTTGCCTCACCCCAGGACGAAGTAGAAAACAGAGCCGAATCCGACCCCAGGCCCTCTAGGAGTGGCTCCCATTGCCTATCTCAGCATTCCCTTTTCTCTCCTCCCTAGTACTGCACTGTCACTTGCAGGAACAGGCTGGTGAATGGTGGGGACACTGAATGACAGTCCTTTCTTCCCCATTTTAGTCCTACCCCATTTTCATGCATTCTATGTCTGGCCTACTGCAACTACTTGACTACTGCCTGGGTAGTAGGAAGTACCACAGCCAGGATAGCAGATATGTTCAAGCTTGGGGACTTCACCTGGAGCCTTAACTGAATTCCACCCAGACCCAGAGAGCAACCAACTGTGGATTCTGCTTAACTGCAAGGCCTCAGGTTTTCACCTGGGCATATTCACTGCACATCTTCTTGGGTCAGCATAACGTGTTAACTGCATTCTTGCACTCATATGGGACAGCGGTCCCCTTGAAGTTTGGAATGAGGTGCCTAGCTTTGGTGGGGATGTGGTATGCAGGACCAAATTCTCAGTGGGCAACTGAACTACGGTGAGGCCATGGGTTTGGCTTTATGATGCCAGACTGGATGGTTGGAGGTATAGGGCTCTGGCCCTGGTACTACCCTAAGTTAGGGAAGACTTGGAGTTAGTAGCTGAATACAGTCCTTTCCTGAGTCTCTGGATATTTTTCCTATTTGTCAACTATATGCCAGGCACCATCTTGTGCAAAGAATGAAGGACGCCAAATGGTATAAGGGAAAAAGAAACACTCAAGGATCTTGACCAAATTACTTCCTCTCTAAAGGCTAATTTTTCCAAATCTCTAAAATAAGAATTACCATGCCTATCTTAAAGATTTGCTATACATATCAAAAATATTATATATATATATATGTGTGTGTGTGTGTGTGCCTGGCACATAGTAGGTACTCAAGTGACAATTATCAGGAGGAAGGGAGGGTAGGGGTAGAGTGCTTGCAATGGCCTTCCTGGCTTCACTCCCCATCTGACTCTGTCTTTCCTTCCAGACACTCACCCACGGCACTGCAGTTTGCACTCGCACTTATGAGAAAGAGGCATGACCTGACTGCACTGTTGCTGACTCCTACTCTGCCAATCGGCTACCCCTCGACTCAGCACCACATTGCCTCATTTCTTCCTCTGCATTTTGTACAAATCCACAAATTCTTCTAGGTTTAGGTGCCACTGGCCTGGATCCACTTCCAGTTTCCATTGTGTATGTGGTTTTTTTGTTAACGGCATTCATAGGGTGCTCTGAGGTCAATAAAGCAGAGCCAAGGCCACTCAGTTGCCTTTTTGCCTTTGGTAACATAACTCTGGGAGTCTTGGTTTCTCCTGTGTGTCAAAGAGTGGGCAGAAGTAACTGCCTGAAGGTTACTCAGGAAGCAGCACTGGATGGGAGACTGAAATGGACAGTGTCAGAGACTGATGATCAGCTGATCACCTTACACATTTAATAATAAAACAGCTGTACCTACACCTTGCCTTTACACTGCCCACCTCCATGGTCAAATTTCCTAGTTCAGTCAGTGGTGGGGCTTCCCCAGATTTGGCTGTTGAACTGTCACTTCACGCCCATTCTACACTGACAGCTCTTGGGCCTGGCTATTCTGTGAAATGCTATAGGTCTCTCTTTCCAGAATTCAGGTTCAGGGCACAGAACCCAGGCTTGTGCCATGATGGTGGGAGAAAATGACCACTGGCCAAGATGATTGCTGATCTATGCACGAGGCTAGTTACTCATGGTTACAAATTCTTACTACTTCTCTAATCAACTCTGAGGGAAGAGGGCATCTGATCTTCACAAAAGGGAGGGCTTATAAGTGATCTCCCAAGAAGGCTGCGACCAGCTAGAGCCTTTGGCTCTGTACCTCTGCTGGGCATCTCTCCAAAGTCTAAGGTAACATATTAAATGCTTTTGTGGGCTAGTGTAGGCTCAGTGACTTTAAGTCTGTAAGTTGCCCAGGAAGAAGGATTACACGAAAAAGAACTTTCAGTAAGTTTAAAACCAAACACATTTCCATTTAGCGACAGGAATTTAAGCAGGAACCTGAAGTGGAATCAACTGATTCACAGAGTAATAAATACAAAGTAGAACAATGATCTTGGCTTCAGCTGTCTGGTTCAGTGGTCTGCTGGAATGCAATACACAAGTGACACTGCAGATTGAGCTGTGGTGACCACTGGATGTCACTTCTAGCATAGTAGAACTATGTTAGGAGGAACGGGAAAAGGGAGCACCACTTCTCACCATGTTCTGCCTCTTGCTGCCAGTCTCTCTCTGCTTCCATGTTGGATGCAGTAAAGATCACCCACCAATCAGCCCAGAACAGACCAAATGGAAGGGTGCAATCGCTCTTCTCCAACTACAGCCAGACTCACCTCCACAACAGTCTCTGGCTCTAGCCTGGATTCTTACAGGAATCCAGCTCTGGCAGTGGCAGCTGGAGAGGTTAATGGAACCTCCTGCTGAATGAAGGAAGTTGGGTGAATGAATGGGTGAGCTGCAGGGTTCACTTGCAAAGGGGCCAGGAGTGACAAGGAAACAACTCATTCAGGCAGCTGCTTCTGACCTCTAACTCCCAAACCTGCCTGTTGCATGAGGGGAAGCCATCTCCATGGAAGCAAAGTTAATGGGGTGGGAGGCTGTATTCTCACTATTGAGTGTTTCCAGGAGCCTCAACGCACGAGGCTCCTGGTTCCTTACTCTCAACCACCCCACACTCTTTCTACTCTCACTCCTTGTGTTTCTTCTTGTGCTTCTTCTTCTTTTTCTTTTTCTTTGCTGCCTTGCTGTCTTTTGATGTGTGCCTTGCCCTCTTGCCTGTAACACTCTCAGAGTCTGAGCTGTCAGAATCAGATGACTTCCTGTCTCTATGTTTCTTTTTCTTCTTCTCCTGAAAAGAAAATATTAAAAATCAACATTGTAAGTATATATTTGCTTTAAACAATCATAGCACATAACTGGCCAGGTGCTGTGGCTCACATCTGTAATCCTAGCATTTTGGGAGGCCAAAGTGGGAGGAATGCTTGAGGCCAGGAGTTCAAGACCAACCTGGCTAACATAGCGAGACTGCATCTCTAAAAATAAAAAAAATTATAGCACATAATCAATAGGGGACCACTTAGTAATTTCTTTTTTTTTTTTTTAGACAGTCTCGCTCTGTTGCCCAGGCTGGAGTGCAGTGCAGTGGCATAATCACAGCTCACTGCAACCTCAACCTCTTGGTCTCAAGCAATCCTCCCATCTCAGCCTCACAAGTAGCTGGGACCACAGGTATGCACCACCACACCCTGCTAATTTTTGTGGAGATGGGGTTTCTCCATGTTGCCCAGGCTGTCCTTGAACTCCTAAGCTCAAGCAATCTGCCCACCTTGGCATCCCAAAGTGCTGGAATTAAAGGTGTGAGATACGTGCCCAGCCACCACTTAGTAAAGTATAAGACACTAAAAACAATAAGGTAAATCTTTAAGTACCAACAAGAAAAAAATAGCTAAAACATGTTAAGTAAAAGAACCAAGACATAATGAATGCAGTATGTATTGTAGATTCTAGTGTGTATAACATATACATGTGTATTTATATATATATGCAAATGACAAAGTGTATATATTACACATACTTGTGTATATTTAGTATACACAGAGAACACTGAAAAGGAGACATCAAACTGGTAATAACTGTTACACACTGGGAATGAACTGAATGGGGGGAAGGATATGGGTCTTTCATTTTTTCCTTTATATTCTTCTGTCCAATTTGATTTTTTTAAAAAAACAAGTATCTGTTACTTTCATTTTTTAAAGTGCAGGATATTAAAGCTGAAAGGGGCCCCTAAAGATTAGCCAGTCTATCTAGAAACAGTGACTCACATATCCAAGGTCAAAGAATAAGAGTAAAAGATTTAGAACTCCTGACTCCCGTTCTGTTTGTTATTAGATCCTGCTGCCAGGGGATTGAATATTTATCATGTCTAATTTTACAGCCACCTCACAAGATTATACTCATAAAGAAAAGAGCTGAGAAAGAACTATCCCAAAACTATAAGCACCACACCATGCTACCAAAGTAACAGTACAAACCCACACAAAGGATGAGAGGCAGATTTCCAAGTGTCTAATGGGGCAGTATGGGCAGATTTTAAGCATGGCATAAATCTCTTCTTTGAATTTCAAATATCTATATTGCTTCCATAAGGTTTCTAAGAAGAGGGAGAAAGTATGAGAGAAGAAAGAGAGCAGAAAAGGATGCCAGCTTCCAGCTAGCACCCTGAGAGCTGTAAATCTGGCTGAATGATATACCAGGTCTTAGGAGCTGGCTGTGAGAAACAGTGGAAAGAACAATGAAGCAGATATTAGATAGACTTGGACCTGAGTTCTGGCTCTGCCATTTACTATTCTGTATCAGGCAAGTTATCTGACCTCACTGATGACTGGTCCCTTAAAATGTAAAATGGAGGTATGAATAACATCTACATCCTTTACAAAAAATAAAAATAGCTAGGTGTGGTGGTGCCAACACCTGTAGTCCCAGCTACTCAGAAGGCTGAGGTGGGCCATGGATCACTTGAGCCAGCGAGCTGGAATTGTAGGGAGCCGTAATCCTGCCACTGCACTCCAGCCTGGGCAACTGAGTAAGACCCTGTCTCAAAAAAAAAAAAAAAAAAAAAAAAAAAACCCAAAACCCACCTGTGTCATATAGCTATGGCAATGAGTTAATGAGATAGTATCTAAGGCTTAGATGAGTTGAAAGCCACTTGTCCCAGATCACATTAGCACAGCTAGTATCTTCACATAGATCATATGAATAAAAATTTCCTGAGTTTTCCTATGTAGCATATGGCCCTTCTTTCTGTATAGTGACAGGAGGCCTCATGGTATGGTCATTAGAACAACAAATTTTGGAATAAGAGTTAAGTTCACATTCCAACTCTGCCGCTTAAGTCACTATGTTTCTTAGAACAACGATTTAACTTTTTCAAGTCTCAGTTTTCTTTTCAGTAAATGGAAATAAGAACCTATTTCAAAGGATACTATGAGCTTTAAACAAGATGAGCACTAACTATAGTGCTTGACATATTATAGGCACTTATGGGGAGCTACATGTATTTTTCTCTCATTAACTCCCAGGAGGTTCTGACAGCCTGGCCAAGTATCTACAGTCAAAATTTTAAGAGCAGATGAAACAATAATTCTTTCTTGGCATCTCAAAGGAGTAGAGAGAAGGGAACAAAGCTTCTCAGACCCATGTTACCAAGCTGTAACAACCATGGCTGGGAGGAGCTGAGAATTGGCAAATCAATGGTTTAGCTACGTTGCTGTACCTTCCTGGATGGCAAGACCATGGAAGTCCATCACAGGGTATTATGAGGTCAGGAGTCTCACTGGCTTCTCCCAGGGGAAGATCCTGGGAAAGGAAAATGAAAATGTAGAGTCTGGCACCCGTTCCCTGCAAGCCTGGTCCAGTATGGATAAATAAGTGAGGAGAGTAATAATACTGCCTTACACCTAAACAGTGCTTTAGTATATCAAGCTTTTTGCATTCTTATCTTACAATAATAATGTGTAGGGTCAGAATTCATGAGTTATTTTTCCCATTTTACAGATGGAAAAACTGCAACTCAGAAATGTAAAGTGAGTTGACCAAGGCTAAAGCAGCAAAGCCACTGTACTTTCTAACACAGAGTTTGGCACACTTTGCTCTGTCTCAAAGATGCAGGCTCAGAAGGAGGGAAGATAAATCACTAGAAAGCCCTGGCATGCTGGAACATGGATTCCAGTTAGCAAGAAGGGCTCAAGGAGATGGCTTCCTCAGACCTCAACTTTGATGCAAAAGCTGTTTTGCAGCCTGAACAAAGACAATTCAATCTTCCAGCAGATGGTGTCATTTTCCCTGTGTGTCTAGCCTTAAGCTACATAACAAAAGAACAATGACTTCAGAAGTTGTAGTTCAAAAGCAAAGTTGGGAGTTGTTGGGGGGCAGGCGGGGGAAGACTGAGAGCCAGAACTTCTGCCCTCAATTGCATTCAAGTGAGAAGGGAAACAGAAGATAATAGTTTTAAAAAATGATGTGGATTCAAGTATCATTTGGAAATAGAAAATTTAAAATAATTTTTTTTTTTTTTTGAGACGGAGTCTCGCTCTGTTGCCCAGGGTGGAGTGCAGTGACGCGATCTTGGCTCACTGCAACTTCCGCCTCCCAGGTTCAAGCAATTCTCTTGCTTCAGCCTCCTGAGTAGCTGGTATTGCAGGTGTCCACCACCACACCCGACTAATTTTTGTACTTTTA